TCCATCCTTTATTTACCCTTACTCTAAGGTCCAGGGCCACCCACCCACTTTAGAAGAGCAAAAAGAACAGTAACACACAAGGAAAAGGACCCCAGAAACCTCCCTTGCCTGACTACCACCAAGAGGAGCCACCATTGAGATGCCAGCCATCCTGCCAGTTACCCAGCCGACTTCCAAAGTGGAGAGACATTCAAATAAGGTGTGCAGATTACTGGCAAATAGACTGCTCAATTTTGCCATCCTCCTAGGCTTAAACTGAGCAAGTTCATGGAGGAAAAAAAGGGGGACTTGTCAAAAGAAGTGCAGAGTTCAAGGCAGCCTTTTAGGCGAGAGATTCCTGCCCTAGACAGAGACCCTGACCAGACACAGAGCATCAGCATCAAAAGCAGTGGAGAAGAATCAAAACTATGTGGGAGGGAGATGATCTATCACTGCTGCTGCACAGAGTGAGAGCCAAAAGCCTTTGCACTGGCTCACTAGCAGAGCTGGGGTAAGGGAGGAAACACCGTAATTGGCAGAGATGAAAAAGCTCTCTGACACTGGCCTTGAACCTCAAGGTAGTGTTTGGCAAATCTAAAGCCCCGAGGGCCAGAAAGCAAGTCCTGACTTAAGGATTATATCCCGATTATTTACCTTAATAATATAACCTGTTTACTTCCCCAAGGAACTTCCATAATTGTGAGTACTTTGGGTTCTGTGTGGCTACTGCAACTGTCAAGCAAAGTTAGTAGTAGAGCAGGGTGCTCTGTTCGTACAGCCCTATAAGGTGCTAGACTGCTAACCAAAAAGGGTGTCTCCAACAGCTGCTCTTGCCTTTACAATGGTATCTGCAGACACAAATGTTAATTCCAAAGGAATGAGCAAAAGCAAAGAAACAATGATTTTTTTTAAAAGAAAACTTATCTCTTAAAAACAAATTTTAAGGCAGAAACCATTTTAAAAAGAAATTTTGTATAGAACTTAAATATATATTAGAAAAAAGGAAACATCTGTTGGTATTTATTATGTTTTATTCAAATTATTACTTAATAGATGAAGACAATAAATGTGAAAAAAGTTATTTTGACATAATCAAAATTCTAAAATCACGCATAAGAGAATAATTATTTCAGTTCTGTATTTTGTTTTGGTTGCCCAATATCAAGAAAATTAACTCAGTGTCCAAAGATAAAGGTACGAAAAAGCATGTATATTTGCTCACTCTGGTGAAAATACATTCTATCAAAACTCAAATTGTATGTACATTTTGACTTAGAACATATTCCACAAATAAACTCTCTTAAGTATGCAAAAATATGTAAATGTTTTCTCTACCACTTTCTGTATTGGAGGAAAAAACCCAAGAAACAACATAAACATTCACTTCTGAATGTCTGCTTAAATAAATTATGCTGTATCCAGGAGGATGGGCTCTATGAAGAGGAATGTGGCATCAGGATTGAAGGAAGACTCATCAACAATCTGAGTTATGCAGATGACACAACTTGATTAATGAAACTGAGGAGGACCTAAGGTATTTGCTGCAGAAGGTCAAGAACTGCAGACTTCAATATGGATTGAAGCTCAACATCAAGAAGACAAAGATTCTCACCACTGGGCCATTTGCCAGTATCATGATAGACAGTGAAGAGACTGAGATTGTTTACAGTTTCAGATTGCCTAGCTCCACAATCAACAAACTTGGTACCAGTGGCCAGGAAATCAAAAGACAAACTGCATTTGGAAAATCTGCTGTCAGGGACCTCTCCAGGGTACTGAAGAGCAATGATGTCAGTCTGGAGACTAAGGTGTGCCTGATGCAGGCCACAGTGTTTGCCATTATTTGCTGTGCATCAGAAAGCTGGACAATGACTATGGATGATAGAAGAATTGATGTCTTTGAGTTGTAGTGCTGGAGAAGAATACTAAATATATCATAGACTGCAAGGAGAACAAACAGGTTCATCGTGAAGAGGGTGAAGCCAGGATGCTCCTTGGAGGCAAGGATTTTGAAGCTCCATCTGACATACTTGGGCACGTTGCAAGGTGGGACCAGTCCTTGAGAGGGACATCATGCTTGGGAAAGTGGAGGGACAGCACAGGAGAGGAAGACCCTCCATGAGATGTATTGACTCAGTGACTGGGGTAATGGGGGTAGGTGTGTCAGAGACAATGAGCTTGGCTCAAGACAGACCAGGGTTCAGAAACATTGTACACAGGGTCACTATGAGTCTCAAGGCACTCAATGCCACAAAAAACAACAACAACATATCCAAAATGCTGAAGTAAGAGATGAAGGGAAGGGCAGCATGAGAAGACAAAGCAAGGTATTATAACAAAATGTGCAAAGAGCTGGAGTAAGCAAATAAGAAGAACTTGTTTGGTATTTCTAAAGTGCAATTTTTTAATTTACATAGGATCACTATCATCAACTAACAACTGTTCATATTCCTTGCGATGGTTAAATGCCAACCTGACTGTAGTCATTTATTTGTAGCAGTTTAGTGGTTATAGAGCTTGGCAGGTGTAATGTACTCATTCCCCATGAAGAGAGATGATATGACTTCCACAGTATCTTGGTTTTGAGTAACCAATTAGATCAAAGGGAATTTCCGGTGAAGTGTGGCTTGCTTCCAATATATATGGAAGTTCTGATAAAGCATTCTGGCTTTTTTTGCTCACTCTGGATGCTGCATCTAGCTTGTTATCATCTGACTTCCAGTTCTTTGGACTTGAGCCAGTGCCTTGCCATACTGGCCATCAATCCCGGAATTCATCAGGATCTGCACCTGTGAGCCAGCAGCCTATCATCTAATCTGCTGATCTTAACTTTCTCAGCCTATAAAGCCACATGAATTAGAAGAAGCCTCCAGTCCCATAGATATTTCCACAGGTTTCTGAGGCTATAAATCTTTATGGGAGGAGAATGCCCAGCTTTCTTTCAAGTAGCAGCTGGTAGGTTCAAATTACTGACTTTTTAGACAGTGTAACACATAATACATTACTTCACCAGAGTTCTTCATCTGAGCCCCTGCAACTTGAAACTAAAAAACTCTTAACCTCTGGACTGAACTGTGTTCTGAAAGGAAGCAGGTCTCAGTGGAGAGACTGTATTTAAATTTGTATACAGCAAGAATCAACTTTACAAAGTTCCTGAGCAAAAACAAAACATTACTCATTAAGTTTGGTTATAGAGCACAAGTGAAAGAAAATAACACTGATAACTAGTGGATGATGGCCTGGACCAGGGATAGTGATATGTTGTTGTTGTTGTTATTGTTGTTGTTATGTGCCATTGAGTTGTTTGTGACCCTATGCACAACAGTTCTGAACCCTGCTCTATCTTGGGCCAACCTTATTGTCTCTGACAAACCTACCCCCATAACCCCAGTCACTGAGTCAATCCCTCTCATGGAAGGTCTTCCTCTGTTGCTACGTTCTTCTAACTCTCCCAGGCATGAAGTTAAGATTCAGTAAATTGGTCTATGTGACTTGACAATGATCCAAAAGTAAGAGCTAGGAGAAATGAGTTGATAGCTCAGCCTCCTAGGACTCCTTCCCAGGGAATTTGTTTTCAATGAAACTGAAATGACAAAGAATTGTGAATATTAAGTATATTAAGTGAGGAGGACCTGAACCTCTTGGAGTATAAAATCAAAGATTTTAGCCTTCAATATGGATTACATCTTAATGTCAAAACAAAAACTCTCACCACTGGGCCAACAGGCAACATCAGGATGTTGTTATGTGCCCTATGTACAAGAGCCCTAAACGCTGCTCTATCCTGGGTCAACCTCACCATCTCCGACACACTCATTCCCACCGCCCCAATCACAGACAGAATCAATCCATCTAATCGAGGGTCTTCCTCTCTTGCAACGTCCCTCCACCCTCCCAAGCATGATGTTCCTCTCCAAGGACCAGTCCCTCCTTGCAACATGCCCAAAGTATGTCAGACCAAGCTTCAGAATCCTTGACTCCAAGGAGAAGTCCGGCTTCACCGTCTCCAGGACAAACCATGATAGATGGAGAAAATTTTGGCACTGTTGTTCTGTACCACAGAATCAGAACAGATCCATAGCTGACCCTCTGGTGGGTTTTCAGAGGCAGTTAATCGCACGGGAGGAGATTCCAAAATAAATTCAGAAACAGAGTTTATCAATGTTTCGATAAATACAGGCACCCAATCTCATATTTGAGAACTCCAATTTAAAGCATAAAGTTAATTCTGTTTGGGTTTGTGGTTTTTTTTATTTTGGTTTTTTTTTGGGGGGGGTCTAGTTTTTCTATTCCACCCAGCTGCTAAATTTACAAAAATATTTGCCAAGGGACGAGGGGAGATACATGTGTGCATATCCACTGCCCCTAAGGACGATCCGTCCGTTCTGTTAGTTTTCTTAGGCTGTACATGTTAACTCAGAAAAAAAGTGAATGATTCTCTCCCGCACAGCTACTAGTGGACTCGAACCACCAACTTTTTCCAGCTTGCAGACCGATCATTTCTACTATGCATGTGTCTGATACTGTCATTTACAGGAAAAAGAAAATGAAGCACTTAAGCAGGTGTTATCAATTGCCCAAGTTCACAATGACAGTTATTCTCTCGTTATTTATTGAATCATAAACATATATGAAGTGCTTTACTATTCTGGACAGCAAGCCCCAGACAGACGATAGCTAGCTACCCTGAAGAACACCCAGTCACAGCTGGCAAGTCAGTTCAAATCTTAGCCCTCTGGGTGTAAAGTCAATGTATTATGTTGGTTTAGGAAGTCTCACACTCCAGATCATGCCAGATCAGTAAACCGGCGGCGACCACGAGCGCCTGCAACAGAAGGCCGCGTCCATAGAGACAGGAACAGAGTGGGTGCCGAACACAAACAACAATCAAAAAAGAGAGAAAACACCAACAATGAACTCTACCCTAAAAGCCACCAGCAGGGACACTTCCCACCTAAAGCTCAGTGCCCCACCTTTTGTCCCGCCCCCTACGTCGCCATCGTAAATCCCATGAGTCTCACCTGCCGGGGTTCCGCCTGCCGCTGCAGCTCCGAGTGTCTCTCCAACGCGGTTGCAAAGCCACTCAGGCGAGTCTGAGGCTCCGTGGAATCGGAACCCTCACTTCCGGAACTACTCTGTGTGCCTGAGCCCCGAAAAGGCCAGGAGGACACAAATATTCGCAGGAAACGACTCTCGGCAGCCACCGCACGTGTCCGACACAGTGCCGCCATGACTACGACGCAACCTCTGACCTTTGGCTTTTCCGTCACAACGTGCGGGTCATGGGGCGGGGCGACAAGCGGCGTGTGCACGTGGGCGGGGCTTAGTCAGTCTGGGCTAAATCGAGGTTTGATTCGTTGAAATCTATAGCCGCAGCAGTTTGAGTACAGGCAGACCTTCTCTGGGTTTATGCATTAGAATTTGTACCATGAGGGCTTTTTCTTTCTAGTTGGCACCAGTGGGTTCTGACTGATGGACACTCCCTTTGGTTTCCAAGGCTTAAAAAGGAGGTGACAGCTCACCTTTCTCCTTCCTCTGTTTTGGACTTAAACCTCCAGGGACTCCTGGCATTTCGGTTCGTAGTGCAACTCCAAGGACTACACCCCCAGTTTTAACACTTCTTACGGATTGATTCAGTGACTGGGGTAATTGGGATGGGTGTATCGGAGACGGTGAGATTGGCACAGGACTCGACGACACATAACAACATGGGAATGATCCACGTTTGATTTCTGGCCAATGTATCTTTAAGCATGGCCACTGCCTGTTAGTGGGGTTTGTGTTTGTTAGGACGCTGAGCTGGTTTCAGTAAGGTTCCAGACTAAGCGTAGGAAGAAAGGCATGGTGATCTATTTTCAAGAGCTAGCCAATAAAAATACCATGAACAAAAATTGTCTCATCTGCAAATGATCATGAGGCTGGCACAGGACTAGGCAGTGTTTGGGTCCGTTGGCCATGGGACTACCATGAGTTATGATCTGACTCCATGGTTTAATTCATTGCCATAGTTATGTCGTTATCTGCCATTGAGTCAGAACCCACACAGATTATTAACCTCTTGTGGGCTTTCGGAGGCTCTAACTTGCCCTGGAGGAGATTCAAACCACATGCCTTTGAATTGGAAGCACAACTCCTTACTACTGGGCCATCAGAGAATCCTCAGATTTTAAATGAAAAATTGGCCAGGTGTGACACACACAAAAGTGGCTGAGCACATGTTGCTAAAAGGTGATAGACTTGACGCAGGGTTCTCACAAACCTTCAGTTTATTAAACACAGTTATCTCAAAGGGCCAGAAATCAAAGTATGTCTGGAGTTTACTTGAAATATTTTTGTTAATCTTTTCTCCCAACATTGTAAAGTCCATGAGCTGACTGGTTGGTGAATCTGTGGCTCTGTAGGTGTTTGTGAAAGTCTGGATTCCAGTTTATCCTCCTTAACCTCTTCTGCAGTATGCCTTCTCACTAAGCAAAAAGTTTTCAGATGTTTGTTTTACCACCAGCTAGCTAATCTCACTTTTTCTAGGGAATGAAGAAACCTCAAGTGTGCATATATACACACCACCTGGGACCCCTGCCTTTATTCTTTATTTTTCTTCTTTGATTTCATAATGTCACTGCATAGAAGTTGCATACTTTCTTTGAAACTGTAACACTGCACTTAACAAATGTTTTCAAATTAAGTTGTTCATCCAGTGATCTCAGCAGTTTTATAGTAAGCCTCTCAGTTACTTGGGGGCGAGAGGAGTGGCTAGTACTTTTCTTACTTGTAAATACTCTTAAGAAATTTTATTACCAGTCTCTAATAATGCCTTTGACTATGGGCTTGAAATATTGTTGTTCTCACATTAACTGCACAATTAGACAATATACTAGAGAAACCTTTGAATGGTAGTTAATTGTGTGCATTACGTAAAATTTTTCTTTACTAAACTGCAGTGCTTGCTGCAGAAGGTCAAGGACTGCAGCCTTCAATTTGGATTGAAGATCAACATCAAGAAAACAAAGATTCTCACCACTGGACCAATTGGCAGCACCATGATAGATGGAGAAGAAATTGAGATATTTAACAATTATAGCTTGCTCAGCTCCACAATCAGCATTCTTGGCACCAGCAGTCAGGAAATCAAAAGATGAATTGCACTGGGAAAATCTGCTGTCAGGGACCTCTTCAGAGTACTAAGAAGCAGTGATGTCAGTCTCGAGACTAAGGTGCACCTAATCCAGGCCATGAACTTCACAATTACTTGCTGTGCATCAGAAAGCTGGACAGTGACAAAGGAGGACAGAAGAATTGAGGCCTTCAAGTTGTTGTGCTGGAGTAGAGTCTTAAAAACACCATGGACTTCAAAGAAAACAAATAGGTGTATCTTGGAGAGGGTGAAACCAAATTTCCCCTTGGGGACTGGGATTTTGAAACTCTGTCTCACATACTTTCTGCATGTGACCAGGAGGGACCAATCCGTGAAGGACCTTATGCTCAGAAGGGTGGTAGGCGAGTGCAGGAGAGGAAGACCCCAGATGAGATGAATTGATATAGTAACTGGAGCAATGAGTGTTGGTGTATTGGGATCAGTGAGACTGGTTCAGGACAGGGCATGCTTCAGAGCTGCTGTACATAGAGTCATTATGGGTTACAGGCAACTCCATAGCACTTAAAAAGCACCAACTGTATGGCCTCACTCAGTATCCAATGCTGTCAAGTTAGGAGAGACTCATAGCAGACTCTGTGTTTGAGGCTATAACTGACAAGGAAGGAGATAACCCATCTTTCTCCCACAAAGCAACTGGTAAATTCAAACCACTAGAGGTTAGACCTTGGGTTAATAGTGTAACTACCTAAGGACTAAACCACCAGAGCTCCCTAACTATATGGTAACCCTTATAAATTCGGTGGGGAGCATAAGATAAATCCTACTCCAGGTGCATTTTCCCTCATACCACTTATTTTCCCCAACCATTAGTTTAGAATTACTGTCTTGGTCATGTTGGTTAAAAAGGTATGGAGACAGGACACATCCCTGGCATACAACCTTCCCAAATTTGAACCATGCCGTGTTTCCTTGCTCTGTTATAACAACTGCCTTCTGCTCCAAGTAGAGGTTTCATATAAGCACGATCAAGTGTTCTGGGATACCCATTCTCAGAGTTAGCCATAGTTTGTTCTGAGCCACACAGTCAAACACCTTTGCATAGTCAATGAAACACAGATACCTATTCCTCTGGTACCCCCTGCTTTTAGCCAAGATCCATCTAACAGCTATAATATCCCTAGTACAATGACCTTTTCTAAATCCAGACTGCACTTCTGGCAGTTCTCTGTTGACGGGATGCTAGGCTGGCTCTAAGAGGAGAAATGTGGCATCAGGATTGGCGACTCATCAACAATCTGCAATATGCAAATGACAATCCTGCTTGCTGAAACTGAGGAGGACCTTAAGCGCTTGCTGCAGAAGGTCAAGGACTGCAGCCTTCAATGTGGGTTAAAGCTTAACATCAAGAAAACAATGATTCTCACCACTGGTCCAATTGGCAGCATCATGATAGATGGTGAAGAGATTGAGATTGTTAACAGCTTTAGTTTGCTTGACTCCACAGTCAGCACTCTTGGCATGAGCAGCCAGGAAAAGAAAAGACATTGCATCAGTAAAGTCGGCTGTCAGAGACCTCTCCAAAGTACTGAGGAGCAACAATGTCAGTCTGGAGACTAAGGTGTGCTTGATAGAAGCCATGGTCTGCAATCACTTGCTATGCACCAGAGAGCTGGACCATGACTAGAAATTGATAGACGGAGAATTGATACTTTTGAGTTGTGCTGTTGGAGAGAGTATTGAATATACCATAGACTGCTAAGAGAAGCAACAGGTTCATCCTGGAGAAGGTGCAACCAGGCTGCTCCTTTGAGGCAAGGATTCTAAAGCTTCGTCTGACATACTCTGGACATGTTTCAAGGAGGGACAAGTTGGAAAGGGACGTCATGCTTGGGAGGGTGGAGGGACAGCACAGGAGAGGAAGACCCTCTTTGAAATGGATTGATTCAATGAGTAGGGTAATGGGGGTAGGTGTGTTGGAGACAGTGATACTGGCACAGGATAGAGCAGGGTTTAGGGCTGTTGTGGATAGGGCTACTATGAGTTGCAGGCGACTTGATGGCACATAACCAAAACATGTTGGTTATGTTAGGTGCCATCGAGAGAAGTACAACTCATAGTGGCCCTGTGAACAACAGATTTGAACCTCATCCTATCTGTACCATCCTCTTCATCCCTCATACACTTTGAGCCGATTGATGCAGTCACTGTGTCAGTCCATCTGGCTGAGGACCTTCCTCTCTTTTGCTGACATTCTTTCTAAGAATTAAGTCCCTCTCTGAAAAATAGCCTCTACTCGCAACACGTCCAGTGTATGTAAGATGAAATTTTGTCATCTTTCCCTCCAAAGAGCACTCTGGCCAAGATATTTTTTTCTTTCCTTTTTTTTTTTTTTTTTAGTCCATGCGATTTTCCATTCTCCAACACCACTGCTCAAAGATAACAATTACTCTTCTGTCATCCATATTTATTGTCCAGCTCTCAGATGCATAGCAAGTGAGGGAGAAGACCATGCCTGAATTAAGTACACATTCATCTTCATACTGACGTCATTGCTCCTCAGAAATTTGTAGAGGTCTCTGATAGTAGACTTTCCCAATGCAATACATCTCCTGAACAAATGACATGCAGTCTTAGGCATGCTCACCAGTCTATGCAAGGAAATGTGCTGGACAGCTGCCTGGCCAACTGACTGGAAGAAATCCATATTTGTTCCCATTCCCAAGAAGGGTGATCCAAAACAAAAATCTATGATTTTATTAAAAAGCAATCTGGTTTGTCAACCTTCACTCAAATGATAATTCCATTTAAAAAGGTGATCCAACAGAATGTGGAAATTATTAAACAATTATCAATCATAACACATGCAAGCAAAATATTGCTGAAGGTCATCCACGAACAGCAACATCTATACATGATAACTGCTCCAAGTTCAGGCTGAGTTTAAAAGAGGCTGCTGATGTTAAGTGCTGTCAAGTATGATTCCTAGCAATCTTATGAACAACAGATCTGAACCTTGTCCTGTCTTGTACCATCACAGTCTCTGACACAATCAAGCCCACTGCTGCAGTCACTGTGTCAGTCCATCTATCTGCTTGAGGGACTTTGTCTCCTCTGTCCCTTCCTCCCTCTCCAAGGAGT